TCTTCTACTTGGGGCCATGCTATATTGCATGCTGCAGCGTTAATTCGATTAAGGCCAACTGTTTATCATAAGCATTCACCATTATAACTTGTTTCTGGGATTGAACCAAATATATCCCATTTAAAGATTTTTGGCTTTGTTGTATATGTTCCTATTACTTCTACACAGCACACTAAAATGGGTCCCCAAAGAAGGCTGGGAATTTATGTTGGTTTTTGTTAGGTTCTCTTTGTATTTTGATGATGGTTTAAAACCATGATTCAAAAGAATTTAATCTATTTTTGTGCTAAGTGTGCAGGAAAGTTAATTCAAGGATTCTAATCTTTCCCCACGATTAAAATTGAATCTTGTCCTCCTTTTTCAGAGTTCTGGGTTCGAATCAATTATATTTGATTTGAACCAATCCTGAACTTCTTTTTTTCAAAAATGGTTCGAACCATTATTTTGGCTTCGAAGCAAAAATTCTGGAAGGTTAAATTTTGATAGCTCAACTATCTGGTTATTCTTAATGGGTCATAGGGGATCCAAATGTCTGAGCACTTTTCAAGACAAGTCAAAAGAAAAAGGTGGAATCTAACTAGGGCAATTGTGAGGTGGCTTTGAAGGGGTAAATGGGCTTTAATTGTAAGGCTCCTAACCAACTATTAAAAGAACATAAAAAATCAGATATAAACATAGAAGAACGAACTGCTCCAGTGATACAGAAAAACAGAGTTTGAAACTGTTCTGGATCTCCTTATTGTTCTCTTCTTGTGAGCTTTTGGGTTAATTGTCTTACAAGGGTTTTGTATTCTTCTTGGATTGAGATAATCCTTGAAGGGGTTGAGTGAGTTGAGATTCACTTGTGAGGGTTTAATCTTGCACCCGTAAATAAAAGATTTCTAGTGGATTGAACTCTCGAGCAAGGAGGCTTGAGGAGTGGATGTACTCCGGGTTGGAGGAACCACTATAAATCACAGCTTGTTATTCTCTTCCCTTTCTTTTTATTTTTCTGCACTTTATTTCCAAGATTGCAGTTGATCTTTGTTTTATTTTGCACAACAGATTATACATATATATTGAAAACTTCATTCACATTTTTATAAAGGAAAAGAAATGAGTTTTATATCTTAGGAATTGAAGGGTAGCTAGCTGGGATTATAGTTTTGAATCACCATCTATAATTAAATATCTTAAACCAATGACTGGTGATCTCTTCACAACAAGATTTGCTGATGTCATTTTGATGAAAATTTGTTCTCCGCATTAGGGGGAGAGGAACAAAAGTTGAAGAAACAGGAATTAACTTGTGATGCATTATCTATATCTCATTTAGACCCTTGAACATGTCAAAGTGAACTAGAAGTTCAGAAAATTATTCATTTGCAAAAATTGCAAATCAATTGCCTGATGCATTCACTGATGCAAAGAAGGTAATTAGTTCACACATCCCATTTTTGAATGCTTCTGCTCGAATTGATATTCCTGTTCAAAAAGGTACTAAAATAGTAGCAAATGAATCTACTATACGCCAAAAGCGTGGCAGACTTGTTGGTTCTAAAGATAAAAATCCAAAAATGAAGAGAAAGCAGAATGCTAGCTCCATTGAAATTGTAGAGACTTAAAAGTTCTCTAAACAACAGTCAGAAAATGCATCTAAAGAAATAATCCCAGAAAAGGTTCAAGTTGTTGAAAATAATGAAGATGCAGATATTGCAAATAATGATGAGATCTCAATAAATTATATTTCCACTGGGATAAAGTGGAATCAAAATGATGTTGTCATTGACGATGTTTTTGCATTTGCTATAGCAAATGATATAGTCAATGAAAATGGGGATCTTGAACCGAAATCCGTTGAAGAATGCCAACAAAGAAGTGATTGGCCAAAATGGAAAGATGCAATTCAGGCAGAATTGAAATCATTAGAATAATGCCAAGTTTTCGAACCAATTGTCCAAACACCCAATAATGTAAAGCCTGTTGGTTATAAATGGGTGTTTGTGAGAAAACGAAATGAGAAAAATGAGGTTGTGAGATACAAAGCCAGATTGGTAGCTCAAGGCTTTACACAAATACCTGGCATTGATTATGAGGAATCATATTCTCCTGTGATGGATGTAATTACATTCAGTTTTCTAATAAGTTTAGCAGTTTCTGAAGGCCTTCAAGTATGTCTCATGGATGTTGTAATTGCTTACTTATATAGATCACTTGATAGTGACATTTATGTGAAAGTCCCTATTGGACTTAAAATGCTTGAAGCATACAACTCAATGCTAAGAGAGATATTTTCAATAAAATTAAAACGGTGTCTATATGGCCTGAAACAATCAGGGCAAATGTGGTACAATTGCCTAAGTGAATATCTCCTAAAAGAAAGATATGAAAATAATCCTATTAGCCCATGTGTCTTTACCAAGAGGTCAAAATCTGGTTTTGCTATCATTACTGTATATGTTGATGATATAAATATCATTAGGACACCTAAAGAGCTCGAAAAAGCAATTGAATGTTTAAAGAAAGAATTCGAGATGAAAGATCTCGGGACAACAAAATTCTGTCTCGGTCTACAGATTGAGTATTTATCAAATGGAATTTTTGTCCATCAACTAAATTATGTTGAAAAGATATTAAAGAGATTCAAGATGGACAAACCTCATCTTTTAAGCTCTCCAATGGTTGTTCGATCCCTTGATGTAAAGAAAGATCCTTTTCGATCTCGTGAAGATAACGAAGAAATGCTAGGTCTTGAGGTACCATATTTCAGTGCCATAGGTGCATTGATGTATTTAGCTAACAATATGTAACTTGATATCGCGTTTTCAATGAATTTGTTAGCAAGATATAATTCTACACTAGCGCGAAGACATTGGAATGGCATTAAACATTTATTTTGTTATCTTCAAGGAACAAAAGATATGGGATTATTTTACTCAAAGCACTCAAAACTAGAGTTAGTTGGATATGCAGATGTTGGATATTTGTCTGATTCACATAAAGGGAGATCACAAATTGGATATTTATTCACATATGGTGGCACCGCAATTTCTTGGCGTTCAACCAAATAGACCGTTGTTGCCACATCTTCAAATCAATCACAATTAATTGCCCTATATAAGGCCAGTCGGGAATGTGTATGGTTAAGATCTTTGATCCAACATATTCAAGTAACATGCGGTCTTAAAGCAATTACAAGAAATCCGACCTTATTGTATGAGGACAATATTGCATGCATTGCACAAATAAAGGGAGGATTCATCAAAGGAGATAGAACCAAACATATTTCTCCAAAGTTTTTCTCTACGCATGAACTTGAAAATGCTAGTGAAATAGATGTTCAGCAAATCAGTTCAAATGAGAATCTTGCAGATCTCTTCAGCAAGTCACTGCCTACCAAAGTTTTTGAACAACTTATACACAAGATAGGCATGTGACATCTTAAAGAGTTTCGTTGAAATGAGGGGTAGTTTTATACGTACTACACTCTTTTTCCCTTTGTTATAGTTTTTATCCCATTGGGTTTTTCTTGACAAGGTTTTTAATGAGGCAGTTTAAAAGCGTATAAAATAGAAAAGGTGAGCATCCAAGGGGGAGTATTGTGAATTTTTCTTATTAGTGGATGCTTCACCTTCACATTCATCTTTTCATATTGTAACTCCTCACAATTAAGGGCTCATTCCTCACCATTAAAGGGTCATTCTTGATCCCACTAAAAGCCATTCAAAGGGCCATTAAGGTGTCATTCAAGAGTCCATTAAGGTACCATTCATTCTCTTATTTAGTCCTATTCAATGGCAAATGTAACCCCCTATGTCCCTTAGCCTATATATAGACCTACAATTTTGTATGTTGGTACATGGAAGGATATTTGGTGAAATAAGAAACTCTCTCCTTTCATTTGTCATCTTGCCACTTTTCCTCTTATTTTATAATAATTTTAGTAATTTTCAATAAGGGTTTATTAAAATAACTTAATTTTGAGGAGTTTTTTTTTCTCAATCTTTTAGATATTTGATTGACAAATATATATATTTTGATTTATTATTCATAAGAAAAATAAAGATGATAAAAAGGTTTTAGTGATAGAGATGAAAATTAAAATTAAGCAATTAACATTAAGATTAAAATAGAAAAGAAATGTTTATTTACCTTAAAAATTAAAAAATTATAATTAATTTTTATAAAATTTTTAATAATTTTAATTAATATTTTATATATTTTTATGTTTATAAAACACACAAATACTTACAGCCACAATACATTATAGTACAATATGGTAACTCCAACCAAAGCCTTAGAAACGAGCTAGTAGGAATGTCGAGATGTGGAACTGTGGATGACCAGAAAAATGAAGAGGATAACAAAGCATGGAGAGATGTATCGCGAGGTGGACGAGATTGGGTGTAGTTATGATTAATTGTTTATTTTGTTAACTAGTTAAATTTTATTTAAAAATATTACTTTAATTTAATTTAATTGTTAAAAATGATTAATAATTAATTGATATTTAATATTTAATAAATTAAAATTAATTTATAAATTAATATTTTTATACATTATAATTATCTATTTAATAAAAATAATTATAAATATCAATTAAATTTTAGTGATCTTAACAAAAATAAATAATAATTATAAGCACAACCCCAAAATTGGATGAAATTTTGAGTTTAATTTGATTTTCAGGAGATTTAATTTGCATTAATTGGACCTCTACAAGTCTTATTGAATGGATAAATATGGGGGCAAAGAGAATTTTTTTTTTTAGATCAATGTGTTAGAGTGTCAATTTTTTTTAAAAAAAATTAGAATCTTAATTTATATTTAAGAATTAAAATTTTAATTTAAAATTTAAAAATTCATTTTTATTAAATATTGATATTTAAATTTAGAAATCGATTATATATTTTAATAAAGGCAAAAGCCCTTCCTAAGCCCATCCATTTTTTCGACAGCAAGTGATAAGCTCTAGAATTAAAAATGAAGCGAAGAAGCCCTCAAACTCCCCGTATGAAACAAATCAACCCTCACGTTAATTGAGCTCCTCAATGTTGTTTGTGTAATGGCTTGCGTGGTAGTTAATCTCCATGTGACATCCAATGTATCAAACAACTTCATCCATGGAAAAGAAATGGAAAACAAAAACACTAACCATATAGAATGCCAAGCACAAGAGCACACACAATTGTAGTTGTCACCACTCACAACAATGCACTCTTTATCCCTCTATCAACACTCCTACAATCAAGCAACAAGATTAAATTAAAAGAAATGAAAACCCATTCAAAAATAAAAACAGCACTATAAAATAAAAAAACCCAAGGAATACAAACTTGTCCTGGTCTTCTTCGTAGTAGAACATGGCAAATGAAATAATGAAGAAGACAAGCACAGCATCGACAATAATAGTGAGCCACAATTCCTTCATTAGGAGGGTGAGATTACAGGTGCCATTGTATATGGCATGCCTGTATGCTTGTCGGTTGGCAACATCCGCCAGCAACATGAGAACGGAGATCAAGGCAATGGAAAGACCCAAAATGACAACGAATTTAGGGAAACATGCCTAATTGGCATCGTCTGCGTGTTGGAAATTGACGAGGAGATAGACATTGAAGATAAACATCAGCACACAAACCACTATCGTGATGATCACTAGAGCAAGGTTGAAATCACCCATTGTTTATAGTTTTGCTAATCGAGCCTTGTCGATATTGAGAGATGTTGACGGAGATTGGGGTTTTCCTTTTTTCATTGAATTGGATTGGGGATTTTCATAGATCTTGGCTTGTTTTCTCCTTGGAATTTTTTTGAAAAAAAAAATGAAAAAAGGATTCCCTTTAGTGAGGTGGTTTGTTGAATTTTGGGGTTGTTTTGATGCAGTTGAAAAGGAGATTAACTGCCACGCAAGCCATTACCCAAATGACGTTGAGGGGCTTAGTGAACGGAGGGACTAATTTGTTTCATACCAAGAGTTGGAAGGCTTATTTACTTCATTTTTAGTTTATGGGCTTATCACTTGCTATCAAAAAAGTTGAGGGGCTTAAGTAGGGTTTTTACTTTTAATAAAATCAGTTTTTATTTAATAAGATAAATTTTTAATTAAATAAAATAATGTAATTTTAATTTGTAATTTTAATTTATTGTAAGAGTTAGAACTAATATGTATTTTTTAAAAAATATATAACAAAAAAAATTTTTAAGCCACAATTTAAAAAAAATGTAAAAGCACTTATAAATTTATTTAAATAGCATTTAATAAATTCTTTACGGATATTGATTCTATTTAACAATATTTTCGTTAAAATCCTACGCGTTGGATTCGTATCAGTTTTCGGTTTTTGGGCTAGTTCGCTTAACACCATCTCAAATTATTTTGGGTTTTGCCTGAACCGCAATTTTGGGCTTGAAAACCATTTCACTCGAACCAAAAACCCATATTTTGGTTCGGGTTTCCCTGGGCCGATTGGTTTCGGGCTTTTGTCCCCAGCGGCTCCAGCCCCTGTGGATATATACTCGGTTACCGGAGGAAACATTAGTGATAGAATCTAAAACATTATCCCATGCAAAAAAAAAAAAATATCTAAAACATTGTCTTTTATCTTGATGTGGACCTTAATAAACCAGAATCCAACATAGGCTAGTAGGTCAACTGTGCCCATTTGAGGTCTACTTTAATGACATTACATCTTTGACGAAAAGTAGACAATAACAAATAAACGAGTGGTTCTCTCTATTTTGTGTTGCTCTTGCCTCTTCTGTTTTCATAGTTTTTCCAAACGGTCAAAAATGCCTGTTAGATTAGATATCCAGAGATTTACCATCACATCATGGAAGCGTGAACTCAAACCGTTCCTTTTTTTTTTTTTTTTAATTTGGGGTAGAGAAAAGAGAAATTGACATGGTGTTATTGGTTATTCAAATTTTAATATGAATTAAAATCTTAGATGTATCAATTACCTGATTTATAAATAGTACATCTTAAACTTTGTTTTTAGAACTTCATGCAATATGAAATACAATAAATTTATTTAATTTATAATTAATTAAGGTATTTAAAAATACTAACATTTAAGCTTATTTTAAATTATTAAATAATAAATATCAAATACTTAATAAACTATCATTTAATAATTATAATTATCAATTATTTTTGATAGTTAAACCATATATATCAACCAATTTATGTGATCATATCCTTATCTCAAAGATAGTGGCTTCAATTTATCTTCTTTTTTTCACATGAGATTTTGATATGATTGATTTTAAAGGTTAGTGATTAAAATAAAAGTTATTAACAAGTTGAGTGATTAACTATATAATTTACATTTTCTTAAAAAATATTCGCAAGAAAGTATAAAATTCTTGATTTTAGACCCACCTATGATCATACTAGGAATATTTTTGGCCTCACCTTTCTTCTTAATTGAAAATGTAATTGCACCAAACCAAAAGTTCTTCTTCAGTTCGTGTCTGCACTTTGGATTGATCTGCAAAGCTCCGAGGTGGAACTCGAGGTAAACATTCTAATGCTTAAGTCAACAATAATCGAGGCTACTTTTACAGTGGAGATAAAAAAAGCTTAGGGTTTATTTCAATTACCTTTTTGACCTGGCCCCTAGGGGGTATTTATAGGCTTCAGTGAGGAACCCACGTGGCATGCCAAGCAAGATAATCGGAGTTTGATGTGTCTTTTCAGACGGTTATTTCGGGACCGAAAAATTGAGAGATATTCAGATGTAAAGATGTCTATCATAACTGTTGTGCAGCTTATCATAATGAATCAAGTGCAGGCATACTTATTCTCGCTATCATGCAGCTGTTTGAGCGGCAAGTTTTGGATTTGTCCTTCACTTCAGTTATAAAGGAATTACTGTCGTTCGTCTGAGGTTGGGCAGCTCGGACCTACAGAAAAGCACATTTGAGTCAAAAAGAAGAATGAAATTGGACCCCCTTAAAACATTTTTCTAACAATCATTGCTCGAAAGAAATATGAACCAAGGTGTGCCACGCTCACTTAAAGAATATTGTAAAACAAATTTAAGGTTCAAGAGGGATGGAATTCATTTTTCATAGGGACCCTGGCGCATATCTTTCTCGATCCAAGGCATCGTTTTCTATCTCTTATGGTCATGGATAATGCGATTTTTTTTTTTTTTAAAAGAAGGAATTAAAACTTAGTAGGCATTGTGTTCATCGTGTTAAGCATGTAGAACGTTTCACTTTAGTGCTGTTGCTGCCTTGGTGGTAATAAAAAAAAAAAAATTGTTGCCTCCTCTGACTTAGTTCAGATTTAATTTAGATGATCAAAGTATTTTTAATTAATTTTTACGAAATTTAAGATTAATTAGTTTATTTTTGGGCCATGCGTTGCATGGTTATTTTTCGGTTCTTGCTTACATTATATATTATTTTTTATCAATTCTTAAATTTTATAATAATTTTTGTTAAAATATTTAAATTAAGTAATTAAGATTGAATTTGAAATTTTTTTAATAATTGACAATAATACTTTTTTCAAAAATTATATAAAGTTATATTAAAAAATATATATTAAGAAAATTCATAAAATATTCATTATTAATATTCATCTCATAATTCAAAAAATTTGTTTTTTGTTTCTGCTATTATTGAATTAATAATTCATATGATATATATTTTTTTCATTCAATTATAGAGCTAAAGTTGAATAAGGATGTAATTATATTTCTTCAAGTCTTTCATTTTAATTGCTTAGAATTATAATCAAATAACAAATAAAATTAAATATCACTCTTATTAGTTTATTTTCTAGTTATTTAGCCCATCCATATATGGGATTTGATTTATTTTATTTTATATTATATGGTTTCTTTTGTATATTTTTATGATAAAATTATTTTTAAGAAATGCAAATTATATTTGTTAACTAAATAAGAGGACAAAAGTGTCAGAGTATTTTGTATTATGTATTAGAAAATATGTTTTAAAATCTATATTGTACCAAATTATGTTTTTTCATCTTAAGGTAATTTTGTATTTTTACAACCTAACTTGCACATTCTGTGTATTCCAATTTGAAAAATTGAGCTATTACATATAGTAAATTTGAAGTTTTAAAACTCTTTCAATTAATTAAAATTCGATACTATTTTGATTTTATAACATTAAATCTTACCCTTTTTGTTTTATGTTAAACCTCCAATTTGGTCCCTCAACTATAGAGACCCTCGATTTGGTCCCTAAACTAAAAAATTCCTTGATTTGGTCCCTATTGTTTACTAATTTGAGCCCAAGTTAGTCTTTCATTAAAAAACAGTTGACATGTTTGTTACTTAACAATAGAAAACTATTACTTAATGGCCATGTGTCATGTTAATAATGAGACACATTATCTATTTTTGTATGGAATGACCAACTTGATGCTAAATTGGTAAAAAGGAAGGACCAAATCAGGGATTGTTTTGGTTCAAGAACCAAATTAAGGGTCCATACAATAGTTAAGGAACTACTCTAGTCTACAAGCAGAAAATAGCAAACTTCTACAACAAACGAGTTCGACCTCGAACTTTCAAAGTAGGAGACCTTGTTCTCAGGAAAGTTGGTCTAACGGGGTACGAAACTCGATTTGGAAAGTTAGCGCCAAACTGGGAAGGTCCCTACACTATAGCCGAAGTGCCCCACCCAAGTGCTTATGTCCTACAAGACACTGAGGGCAAAAGGGTTCCTAGAGTTTGGAATGTTAATAACTTGAAGAAATTTTACCCTTAATACACTTCTTTCCAGTTAACTTTGTCTTATTGATCACCACTATTCTGATTAATGTATATCGAAACTCAATTCATTTACATCATTAATGAACTTCGCTTCACATTCTCAGTGATTCAGTCCTGTCATTGTGGCTTATTCAGTTACTTCATTTGTTGGGTTATGATTTCATTACATTCACTTCTAAAGTGTTTTGCTTCATCTTTTGTCATTTATGTATTTGAAGTCCGCCTCATATATGTATATATACCCGAGGTCAATTCCTCTGCTGTTCATTTTATTGTGTTTGAGGTCAGAACCTTGTGTTTAATAAAGTTACTTTGTCCGAAGTCATTCACTTAAAATAAATCAGCACTTCGAAACTAAAATTGAACACCAAGAATAAAATTCAAAAATTTTATCAAATTTTCAAACATCAATTACAAAAATGTTCTTTACAAAAATAACTACAAAATGAGAAAACCTAAACTACTCTGCTGGAGGAAGAGGCT